CGTGACTGGTAGCGCCGTTTTGGGTGGTGATTGAGGTTGTTTTCGGCAACTCCATGTCCATGTGATGACAACAGATTGAAGATGGAGGTGAGGGGGTTCGAATGGTAGTGGGGTATGGTCTTCTCAGTGACCGGTGGTGGTCGATTGTCGACGAAGAAGGCGGCGGTTGCGGTTCTTCTGGTTCTCTGATGAGAAAGAGGGGGCGTTTTCCATGTTTTTAGAATTTTGCCTTGTTTTGATTCAAAACACTCAAAACATCTATTTTGACGTTTTGAGTTTTCAGGCAAAAAAAAATTTTGTTTTCAAAAATTTGTTTTTGAAAACAAGAAAGAGAACACGTTTTCACTGTTTTGAAAAATTGAAAACAGAAAATGACCCCAAAACAGCAAAGAGAACAGGGTCTAAGCTGTTGCAGGATTTTTTGATTTTCATGAAAGCAAGAACTAAATAAATTATCTAAAATCAAAACAAGGTTTATAACAAAAGTTGTTAGATCCTCTTAACACAACAAACCAAAAAGAGAAGAAAATTTTTACACCAAATATGGAAACTAGAGTGAGAGAATTTGAATCAATTTTCAGGGGCAAATTTAAAACCGTTGAGATCTGATATGATTAAACTATTTGAATTTTTGATCGAGAAGAGGATTATTATTCAATTGAATCTACAAAGACCTGTAACTAATTAAGGGACACAATTGCTAAAGATGGTCATAGTGGATAAAATGGGGAAAAGTTGTGTTCTCTTCTTCTTCTTCTTCTGATCTCTTCAACGGTACCAAAACTTGAAGATTTGGGGTTTGAAAATTTCTCAAATTTAGGGTTTGCAGACTTGGAGTAGGGGTGCGGGTGGGTAGGTGTGGGGTGGGTGGAGAAGAAAAATGTGAAAATGAGTTTTTAATTCTAATTATTTTATTAATAAAAAATGTAAAATTACCATTTTAACCTTTTAAAATTAGTCAAAATTATTGTCAAAATCAATTTTTTGGTTAACTAACGGTCAAACTAACAGAAACCATTCATTTGGACTTCAGGTGCGACATTTTGAAAGATTTGGTAGTTGATACCGTGGGGTGGCACAAATAAAATGTTTGGTATCATGTGTAGTACAAATGAAATCTGGACAAAGTCTGCTACTAAATGAAAAGTTTGGTACCGTTGCTGCAATTATCCCTAAAATTAGGGAGGATACGATTATGGGAATAGAAAGGTGGATTGAAGTAAAAAAATTTCTTATAAGTGAATTCTTACTTGTAAGTATTTTTTACAAATAAGTTAATGTTTTAATTATCGGGTTAATTCCACAAAAGGTCACTGAAGTTACAGCAAAATAACAAAATGGTCACTGAAGTTACAAAATTGCACTAACGGTCACTTAACTTACACTCACTTTCAAAAATGGTCACTGAGCAAAATTAAGGGACTTATTTGTTCTAATTGAAAACTGAAATTAACAAAACAAAGCCCTTCAAAATTGGAGGGGCTGAACATCAAAGATGAACCAATACCTGCAGAACTTCCCATCTCCGTCACCGTCGACTTCCACCTCAGACCGTCGAGTATCACCACCACCGGTATCGGCCTCACCCGCCCGATAAATCCCAACCACAATCCCAACCTCACGCCGCCCCCAAATGCACCCCCATAGCCNATCCCCACGTAATCCGCCTCAAGGGCTGCCACGGGAAGTATCTTACCGCCACCGACGAGTCTTTTCTCCTCGGCATGACTGGAAAAAAGGTTCTGCAAACAGTTCCGGCGACAATGAAGGATAGTTCAGTAGAATGGGAGCCCATAAAGGAAGGATATAAAGTGAAACTGAGAACTAAAGGAGGTAAATTCTTGAGGGCTAATGGCGCAACGCCGCCGTGGAGAAATTCTATAACTCATGATCTGCCGCACAGAACCGCCACCCAGGATTGGGTTCTGTGGGAGGTGGAGGTGGTGGATATATCTGTATTGAATAACGAGTATATATCGAGCTGCGCCTCCAGTTTTTCGTCGGAATATGACTATTCGGATTCAAACACTCGTTCTCCATCAATTACCTACGGGAGCCGGGAGAATAGCTTGCAATCCGGCGCCACGCCAGAGAGTCGTCGGCCGTCAATCGTCGCTTCTCAGAGCCGCTGGCCATCGATTGCATCGGATACGTCCTCACACACAAGTGGAAGACAGGTACATTTCCAAATTCAGTTATACATGTTACCGATTAAGTCCCGATCAACGATTTGCAGTCGAGAAAACTCAGCATTAATTTTCTTGAATATAGGGTGGAATGGAGTTCTTCAACAAAGCTAAAGCAGTTAGACTCCAAGGTCATCTCGGCAAGTACCTGGTAGCAGAAGAAGACGAAGAAACAGTCCGGCAGAGCCGCAATGGTGCTTCACATAAGGCTCGATGGACAGTTGAATTCATCGAAGGAAAAAACACCGTAATCCGCCTTAAGAGCTGCCACGGATGTTACCTCACAGCAGTGGATGAGCCATTTCTTCTCGGCATGACCGGGAAAAAGGTTCTGCAAACTATTCCGACATCAAAAATGGACACTTCAATTGAATGGGAGCCCGTAAAAGAAGGGAATTATGTGAAACTAATGACTAGGGAAGGGAAGTTCTTAAGGGCTAATTGGGGAACGCCGCCATGGAGGAATTCATTAACTCATGATATTCCTCATAGAACTGCAACTCAAAACTGGGTCTTGTGGGGAGTGGATATTGTGGATATTTCCATATCGGATTCGGATCCGGGGTCGAGTTTTTCTTCGTTGCCGGAGGATAATACCGGTTCACAGGATACAGGGTCGCCGACTATCAATCTAGAAGGTCAATGAAGGAATCCATGAAACAAGTATCTTACTTACAATGTGAAAATTAGTTTCTGTTTACTCATGACGGTTCAATAATTGCCCATTTTGATTTGATTTGCATTTTATTTACGTGCAAAACTATTTTAGTAAAGAAGAACTCCAAGAGTACAGAATTTCTTTCACAGAATTCATACAGAAATTTAAAATTTATCTCACATGGAGGTGTCTCCACATAATTAAAATAATGCCAAAAAACCTCCCTTACCCAACTATGATGTGTGTTGTCGGACATGTACAGAAATTTAAATTCCTGTACCTGTAGCTTAACTCTACTTTTTCTGTGAATGGGGTTCAAAATCAAGCAGTGGCACAATTTAATTCCATCTTTTTCCCTACTTGAAAACATGGCATTTAGCCACCGTAATAGTAACTCCAATAATTTATGTAAAATACAAAGATAGAATAATAATTGAGTTAGGTGAAAGAAGTTAGAATGACAAGTCAACACGCATGATAATATAAAAAGATTCCTTTCTTTCTAGCCTCATCTGCTATTCTTTATTAAGGATCACTCACAAAGAGTTGTCGCATCATAAACATGATCGTCATATAGACTCTTATGATATAAGATACATAAGTGATTGGATCTAGTGCAAGTGGGAGTTTGTAAGTGTTATACCCTAAGTCCAATCAACTCTTTGAGGACCACTGACAAAGAGTTGTCGCATGATAATATAAAAAGATTCCTTTCTTTCTAGCCTCATCTGCTATTCTTTATTAAGGACCACTGACAAAGAGTTGTCGCAGCATAAATATGATCGTCATGTAGACTCTTATGATATAAGATACATAAGTGATTGGATCTAGTGCAAGTGGGAGTTTGTAAGTGTTATGCCCTAAATCCAATCAACTCTCTTATGATATAAGATACATAAGTGATTGGATCTAGTGCAAGTGGGAGTTATTCAGTCATGAAGTCTACCTCTTGTCACAGATTTTAGCTTCGACTTGAGCACCATTATTTGGGTAAAATAAAATTTTGATTAATAATAATTTTTAAAAGAATATGTGTTTAAAAGGTAGGAAAATTTTTGGTTTACGTATAAAATATTTTAGTATGATTGAAAATATGTATATAGAAGAGACGGTATACACTTTTTCAAACAATTACGCATTGAATTTGACACGGCTTGCTTTTAATTTAATCGAACTTCAAATTTTGACACGACTTGCTTTTAATTCAGCATATTTTGACATGAATGCCAATTGAATAAAGGATCTTGTGTTCCCAACTGCATAAATCATGTTTGATTTTGTACAGAAGTTACTTTACTTGATCGCAAGTTAGAACTTAGGGTCCGTTTGATTGCAATTGTGGAAAATGGGTGAAAAGAAAATGAATTTCAGGGAAAGTAATTACCTAAAAATTGTTTTCCAGAGAATTGTTAATTAAGTGTGTTTGATTTGTATAATTTTCCACCCAGAAAAATTTTAAAATTTTGAATTTTTTTTTGTTCACGTTTGACTTTATTTTACATAGAAATTGTTTATTAAAGTGAATATTTTTTTTTCCAATTAGTTATGAAATTCGTTACCATTGCCAAAAAGTAAAAAAAAAAAATTTTTTTTTTTTGCTCGAAAACTATTTTTTCATCAAAGTTTAGTGTTTGTTTAATTTCGTTTTACATGAAATTGTCCATTAAAGTGATTTTTTTTTATTTTTTTACAATTGGTTATGAAAATTTTTTCCATTGCTAAACAAAAAAATGGCTTGGAGAATTCCCTAAAATTAAGGAAAACGGGTGACTGGGGTGGGGGAGGAAAAACTTTTTCTAGGCAAAATTTAAGCCATCAAACATGGTTTAATGGTGGAAAATGAATTTTTTTTTTCCATTTTCTGAGGAAAATGTTGGTTATCAAACATAGTTTTACTTTTCTAGAGAATTAAATTTTGTTATAGGAAGTAATTTTAAAAATTGTATTTAACAAACTAAGCCCCGATTTGGTGAGAATTAAAATCTGATTTTTAGAATGTTTTAATAAAAGTTGATAAAATATATTGTTGAAAAGTTATGAATCCTATAAAATATATGATTAAAATTAATTATTAACTTTAACTAAAATATAAATTATAATTTCCATCAAATAGGGGCTAAGTAACGTACAAACAAACATGATCTTGTAAGGGCTTAAAATGCAAGCCAAGAAGTCAAGAATTGATGGGGCTATAAATCAAAAGGACACCAAATTGCCTAATCTCCAGCTCATACGTTGATATTTCTAAGTACCCCAACAAAAAAAATAAATAAATAAAAATAAAATAAAACCTTCAATTTGACCAAATTGGCCATGTCAATATGGTTCGTCGGCTTGAGGTCGGCCATGAAAAAGTCTGAGCTTGCTCGTGACTCGGTGGGATTGAGTGCCATTTTGGGGCGTCGCTCCAGCCCGACCCAGCCCATGAAGAGAAAAAATAATTAAAAAAAAAGCTTACAGCTGTAATTTTTTTTATGTATTAATATTTAGTTATTATTTATAATACGTATAAATTGCACAAATTTTAAATTATTTAAAAAATTTAAATTTGTCACGAATTTTTTTTTTTTTTTTAAAAAGGCTCAGCTCGGCTCACCTCACTAACGTCGGAGTCGAAAGTTTATGTCGAGCCTAAATTTTTTGTCTCAGCTCGGACAAAAAAAAAAAAAAAAGCTCGAACCATCTTTACTGGAGTCGAGACCGAGCAAAAAGTTTCGATTTAACTCGTTGACACTTCCAGGCCAAATATATAAAAAAAGGAAATAGAAAAATAAAAAGAAAAAGTGGGACATACTAAGCTGCACGTTGGAGACAACAATTTCAATATGTTCTTTTTTCAATCGTTATTTAATAAATTTTGTAGGATTTTTTTGTTATTTATTTTTTAACACTTTTGTCCAAAAAGGACCAAATGAATGTTTGATCAAAGCCAAATCCATCAGCGGATCTTTCTGCAAAACCACATAACAGAAATTATCCTCTTCATCTTTACCAAAATCAAATAAATTATATAGATCAGTTAACAAATTTTCTGACACATTTCATAATCTAATCGAATTTCTGCATGGAATTTTTTAAGAAAGCGAAATCTGTCCGGCTTAAGAGCCATCATGACAAGTATTTAATCACAGGTGACAGATGAAGAATCCACTATCCAAGATCGTGCTGGCTCATCAAAGAATGCTAAATGGACGATCGAGTTTGTTGAAGGTCACGTTTGAAAAGTTGTCAAGGAAATTACCTTGCAGCCTCGTATGAGCAATTTCTTCTAGGCGTGACCGATAATGAAATTGTTCAAACTTTTCCAAGAAAATTAGATTCATCGGTTGAATGAGAGCCTACAAGAGATGGTATGAAAATAAAGCTCAAAGCAAGATATGAGAATTGTTTTCGTATATTTAAGATAAAAAATCATAAAAATAAAGATAAAACACTTTCTATTTATTTTCGATCAAATCAAAGTTATGAATACTTTAACCTATGGTTAGATAATAATTCTTGTGGGAACGATATTTGAACTCATTAGTCAACTATATTATTTGTTACGATCCATATTGTAGGATATAAAATCGACAACACCTCTATTGCGGAATATCCTATATACTTTTAGATTGACGAAAAATCCCCATAAACGACCTTTTAAGTACGGAAGATAACATTTCTTTCATTTTCTCGATAAAGCCTTGTGAAATGAGAAATAGATCCATATCTCCTCCCACCTGCTTGATCAGTTACCGTCGCTTAATTCCAACCCAATCAAAAGCTTGACGCTTTTCTTCATTCAAGAGAAAACAACCAGGCACTAATCATTTAAACATACGTTTCTTCCAAATATTAATGGATAAATTATACTGATAATGGAGGAGACGAGATTGAAAAATTGTCCGATAATGTCCACCTCAAAATTACTTTATATAACCAATCGCAAGTTTTCATGTATAAAATTAACATATTGAACAACTGAGACTCTTGGATCATTAGACAAAACCAAATTATATGTATTACAAACAACCTAATTCTTATGTCAAATCTGTTAGAATTTTATTAAAGCTTAAAATTTCAAGAACTTTAAAACCTAATTACTTTATTGTTAGGATCCTCCATGTCAAATCACCAATAAAATTGTAAAGTACGGAACATACATTGATTGATTGGGAATGATTCTTTAATACATAGTCTTGATTCTGGATCTTGAATCTTGAATATTGACTCTTTTGATTCTAATGTTGATTTTGTTTTCTTGCTCTATAATCTTGAATGTCTTTTAACTTCCTCTTCAATATGTTTTCTTTTGTATTGTGTTGATGGGATGACATAGACTATAACCCTATTTATATTTTCATATGTATTCGTCAATCCTCAAATACAATCCTAATTGATTTGATCTCTATACATATAATTAGACCCACACTTTATTTAGATGTCCAAGCCCAAGCCCTAGCCCAATCACTTAATTTTTATTAGATCACTTTAATTTTGGGCATATTTTCAGAGAACCTTTAATATACAATTACATATTTAGGTTCACATGGCAAATCAAAACCCAACAATCATCCACTTGGACCATATATGTTACCTTATAAATGTGCATAACCTTATAACTCAAAAACTTTTGTTAACATAATCAAAAGTATCTCCGAACAATCTTGTCCATCAATTATATAAGTATAGGATCAAAGTAATCCTCGTTACAATTATCATAACTAAACTCTCAATGATCACGTATATCAATACAATCAAATGATATATAACAAGTGTGGACGCGTAGTATGAAAATTATATGTAATGTGATCCAAATATGCCTATTTTCAACTGGTCCTATCTTATTTTTTAATGAGATCAAATGAAAACTTTAATTAAAGTGAAACCAAAATGAATACTTTATTTCTGCATAATAACCTAAATATCTATAAGCATAAAATGTGTCTGAATTAGACAACAACCGAGTACAAACTCCCACTAAATTGTCATATTATCAAAAGATGCAACGCCTATATGAACAATATACTTATGAAAGACCCTGGGTAATAACCCTTTAGTAAACAGATATGCAATTATGGAATTTGTCCTGATATGGTTTATAGAAATCTAATTACTCTAGATTCTTTCATTAACAATTAGGAACTTAATATTTATAAATTTTGACAACATCGTACTCAAGACTACTATATCACAAAATAACCTTGTTGTCTTTTAATTCCATCCAAAATGTGCAGCCTAGTGACAAAATTCCACAGTCACATTCTATTATCAGAATCAGAATATCGAATTATCTCCAATTGGTCTAATTTCCTATATGTGATCATGTAATCCCTAGTTCTCTATGGATACCGAAAAACCCTATTGGCTTGCTTTCTAAATATCAATTCCAGAGTTACTTAAATATCCGTCCAGTATTCCAACAATGAATATTATATTCGAATGTGTGCAAACCTAAATACATTAAATTCTCAACTGTCGAAGCACAAGGAATTTTCTATATTTCATTTTCTTTAAACTTATCCTCAGGGAATTGATTGAGATTAAACTATCTCCCTTAACAATAGGGGTATCATCTGATTTACATTTATGCATCCCAAATCTTTTAAGAAATTTGTTGATATAACTCTTTTGTGATAATCTAAAAATACCCCGAGAATGATCACGGTATATCTGTACCTAGACACATAAGAGGTGTTACCAAGATCTTTCATTTCAAAATTTCATGACTGGACTGATTTTGTGCAATAAGACTATATCATTACAGGTAAATAGTATGTCATCGACATCCAATACCAAAAATATACTTACTCCCACTGAATTTATGATATATACAACCATCAACTACATTCATCTCATAACCAA